ATCTTTCACTGCCCCCGAACCACTTAACTAAAGGACCTTTGGGCTGTTCTTTGGTGCGCTCCCTGTGTTCTCTTTTTCTGTGCACCTTAAACACTATCTGCTTTCAACTAACCTCAACAGATACAAGTGAATGAAATGAACGCGTGATCTGTGAAATAGCGAAATAAAGAAGCGTTCATTGTATTCCATTGTATTCACGCAGATATTCATATTAGGACGAAATGAGTGAACGAATAAAGGATGCATGAATTATATTGCTAAGGGGTGTTCTTTCATTCGTTCAATCACTAGCTTGCTTCGCGGGCAAATGAAGGTACTAATAGCCCGCGATGAGAAAAGTAAAAAGAAGAACACCAAAAAACCTACTAATTGAACTCTGTTTTATTGGGGTTTCGCGCGTTCCTGTGAAGCCAACAAAATATAGCGCATCTATAGGGTCTTTGAGGCAGTAACAACAATATGATTCAGGGCTCCAAGTTGCAGGATTATGCAGTTGTTCTTGGAGGTAAAGTTAGGATAATTTGTTGGGCCAGAGAAAAAAGACTCAGTTTTCTGGCCTGTTCGCTTCGCTCCAGATAATAAATCTTTCTGGGAGGTATGGTGCTTGCAGGAAGTGAGCTCTCTTAGAGGTAACACTATTCTTCTTCATGGAGGTCTTCATGTCTTGAGAGAGCGAACCACAAGCCCACTATAAACTCAATAGCCAGTCCATCAGATGTGAACCTCGCTCGTAAGGAGCTAACTGAACGGAATGAATGTTGGACTGGATTTGAAGGGAGATAGAGGTTGATAAGAGCATTGTTGCGCGTGCAGTGAAAGACGCACGCAACTCGCCTCGCCAACCAAAAAACTGCTGCACACCACCATCCCCTCTCCCCAAGCCTCCAGCCGCCCCCCCCCCCCCCCCTCCCAAAAAAAACCCTAAACCCTAAAACCCGAAAACCTAACCCCCCTAACCCCCCCAACCCAAAACAAAAGAAAACAAAAAATTAAAGAAGACGAGATGGCTCCAAAAGGGGGTGGGGTGGGCACCCGTGGCCTTTCAGCCAGCCGGCATGGCGTCGGAGGCCTCGAAGGTTCTTTGGGTGGCTTCTCTGGGTGGTTTTTGGTCGGGATGGTCCCCCTTATGCTAACAGTCCTTAATTCATGGAGGCTTTCATAGGCGGTACTATAATCCCTATTAAGGACTGTTCGCATAAGGGGGAGCATCCCCAAGTCTGGTTTTTTAGGGGTGAATTGGGGGGTTTGGGGTGTGAAAGGGGCAAGGATTGTAAAGAGTTCAGCGTCTAGTGCTTGGTCTGCTGGCAGCTTAAAGTGCTTTTGGGTGTTGGTGTTCAGCGGCTTCATATGAGGGTTTGACGAAAATAGGGGACTTTACTCTCAGGGATAAGGTGTTAAAGGGGGCGAATGGCTACGAGTAGGATTGCAGTTCTGCCTAGATGGTATCCCGCAAGGAGCATGACCTCTTGCTTGCACTTATGTGGGTTTTACGACAGTGCGGGACCCCTAATATAGACCCCAAGTAGTAGGATTCCCTTGTAATAAGGACCCCAAACTCAAAAGGTCTCCCCAATTTCGGAAGCCACCGTATGTGTTTAAAGATTTTCAGGGTCAAGGGGGGTGGGGAGGTCTTGTTGCCCAAAGCAAGGTGAACTGCCCAGACCACCCACCACCTTGCAATCCCTCCCACAAGCACTGTGTTCCCTCACCCTAAACCCTAAACCCTAAACCCTAAACCCTAAACCCTCAACCCTCTCCCCGCCCCCACCCCCCACCGAAGCCTGAATCACCTCTGAGCCCCCGGTTTCTTGCTTGGGGGCTTCCATTCCACCCACAGCCCGGGATAGGGTTCAGGGCTCAGGGCTCAGGGCTCGGGGCTCAGGGCTTAAGGCTTTGGGCTTAGGGCTCTGGGCTTAGGGCTTAGAGCTCAGGGCTCAGCGTTTACAGGGAGAAGCCTGAAACTTGAAACCCCTTAGCCCACCCATTCTCCCTCCATTCCTGTTCATGTGTCTCATAGATGCCATGTACACATCCCCAAAAACCCCTAAATCTTAAACTTAGAGTATTCGAAAAAAAAAACTCTGCTCATATCTTGAGAATATCTGATGTGCCAGGGGCCCCTAACCCTAAAACCTGAACCCAAAAACCCGAAAGCCCCAAAGCCCCAGGCCCTAAACCCCAAAACCCTAAACCCCAAAAACCCAAAAAACCAAAAACCCAAAAACTCTAAACCCCAAAACCCCAAAACCCCAAAACCCAAAACTCAAAAACCCTAAACCCTAGACCCTAAAAACCCAAAACCCAAAAACTCTAAACCCTAAACCCCAAAACCCCAAAACCCTAAAACCCAAAAACCCTAAACCCTAAACCCTAAACCCTAAACCCTAAACCCCAAAAAAGGGCCACCTGCCCGGCGCTTGCATCGGAGGCGGCCTGGACCTCATCCGTCGGGCCGTGTGGCTTTCGGGCTGAGGCGTTTCAGGCTTTTTCCGGCCTTGGGGGTTGTTTTTGGGGGTTTAGGGTTTAGGGTTTAGGGTTTAGGGTTTAGGGTTTAGGGTTTAGGGTTTCATGTTTTTCGGCCTTGGGTTGTTTTTAGGGTTTAGGTTTAGGGATTAGGGTTTCAGGTTTTTCGGCCTTGGGTTGTTTTTGGGGTTTAGGGTTTAGGGTTTAGGGTTTAGGGTTTAGGGTTTAGGGTTTCATGTTTCTCGGCCTTGGGTTGTTTTTGGGGTTTAGGGGTTTAGGGTTTCAGGTTTTCGGTCTTGGGTTGTTTTTGGGGTTTAGGGATTAGGGATTAGGGTTTCAGGTTTTTCGGCCTTGGGTTGTTTTTGGGGTTTAGGGTTTAGGGATTTGGGTTTCAGGTTTTTCGGGCTTGGGTTGTTTTTGGGGTTTAGGGTTTAGGGTTTAGGGTTTCATGTTTCTCGGCCTTGGGTTGTTTTTGGGGTTTAGGGTTTCAGGTTTTTCGGTCTTGGGTTGTTTTTGGGGTTTAGGGATTAGGGTTTCAGGTTTTTCGGCCTTGGGTTGTTTTTGGGGTTTAGGGTTTAGGGTTTCAGGTTTTTCGGCCTTGGGTTGTTTTTGGGGTTTAGGGTTTAGGGTTTCAGGTTTTTCGGCCTTGGGTTGTTTTTGGGGTTTAGGGTTTAGGGTTTCAGGTTTTTCGGTCTTGGGTTGTTTTTAGGGTTTCGGGATTAGGGTTTCAGGTTTTTTCAGTCTTGGGTTGTTTAGGGTTTAGGGTTTAGGGATTAGGGTTTCAGGTTTTTCGGCCTTGGGTTGTTTTTGGGGTTTCGGGCTTAGGGTTTCAGGCTTTTCGGCCTTGGGTTGTTTAGGGTTTAGGCTTTCAGGTTTTTGGGTCTTGGGTTTAGGCCTTTGGGTTTAGGGTTTTTGGGTCTGGGTTTCAGGATTTGGAGGTTTACGAAATAAGGGATCCCTTGTAAAAAGGACCCCAACAAGGTATCCACTAATTTCGGAAACTCCGTCTTGAGTCGCGTTTGGGGGCGTTTTGGGGCTTTGGGTCAGTCTGTTGAAGTTTGCGGCGCCACATGTTCCCATTCACGCGGTCTCTTCTTGCCGGCATTCTGACATGACAGGGGTCGGCATCTGAAGCAAGACTATGCCAAGCCGTGCACAAAATGCAGCGGTTCCTGGACATTCTGGAGAACCTGTTCCATCGCATGCAGAGACACTGACGCTGGCCAATTTTCAACCGACAGCCGACCTACCAGCATGAACGTACAGCAACCCCAAGCCCCCAACCCAGACCACAGCTTCGTACAACCGTTCAAGCACTTTAGGCCCCAGTCCCGCCCCACTCACCAACATTCTACGCTCCCCATAATGGCCTCAGTACGATCCCACCGTAGCCAGGTCCCCATAACTTACCTGTTACCGTCTCACTGAAGGGGCCTCAGTAGCTATACAACTTTAAGCGCATGCCCGGACCCAAGGTCAGCATCAACATGTCCTTCAAACTACGAAGCACAACTTGAAAAATTCGCGAAGCTTGCCTCCCAGCAAAAGCGAAGTGAAGCATGAAGGTCTCTACCATTAGACTCTGAGATTCAGATGGCACAACAGAAGCTGATGGCATGCGGAGTATGCGATCGCATGGCAAGGCTGCTCAGGTTTCTGAGCTGCACAGTGCTTGTGGGCAACACGCCCTGACCATTACAAGGTCTACACCACGGCAGCCGCGGTACAACGACTGCATTTTCAGCAGGCACATTCGGCGTGCCAGCTGCGCGTGCTGGGTCCCTTTGCCACACCCGCAGATCGGCCCGTAGAGGACAAAATCAGCCAGCGTGGGCTCGCATTTGCAAAGCTCTGGGTTCTGCCCTGTAAAGATGCATTGTAAAGAGTGATGCACCTACTATCTGATGAAGCGAGCATGAAGGATTTATGAAGACTGTGAGTTGTGCGAATTACGCATGTCGCTGGGCTGCAAACCGTATCGCCCCACAGCCTAAACCAAAACCCTGCTAAACCCTAAACCCTAAACCCTAAACCCTAAACCCTAAACCCTAAACCCTATAAACCTTAAACCCTAAACCCTAAACGCTGGCAAACCCCAAGCCGTCGCACGCTGAAAGCTCCAGCTGCGATACGCAGCCTGCTGTCATTGGAACAAGAGGCAGGAGCTCTCCAGCTCTCCGGTCTTGGGAGTTTAGGGTTTAGGGTTTGGGTTTAGGGTTTAGGGTTTAGGGTTTAGGGTTTAGGGTTTAGGGTTTAGGGTTTAGGGTTTAGGGTTTAGGGTTTAGGGTTTAGGGTTTAGGGTTTAGGGTTTAGGGTTTAGGGTTTAGGGTTTAGGGTCTCTCGAGGTTTCAGGGGCCCCTGGGAGGTTTTTGCGGGCTTGCAGGAGTTTGGGGGTTTTGGGTCAAACTTGAAAGGTGAGACGGTGAGAAGGATGCTGTTTCAGCGCATTTGCACTAGCTAACCCCCTGAGTTGAGGCGCCCTGGAGGTAGCGACCTACCGCACTGCATCACAGAACCTGCCCAGTGGCTCAGCGCATCTAGAGCACGAGAGACACGCCCCTCGACCCCAGCCTTGACAGACTTGTTAGGGTTTAGGGTTCGGGGTTTTAGGGTTTCAGGGCGATCCAGCTGGGAGTTTAGATTGAAACCGCTATGCGATCATCGGGACGTCGACCCCCCCCCCCCCCGGCCGGCCCCTGAACCCTAAGCCCGAAGCCCTAAACCCTAAACCCGAAACCGCGCCGTAAGAACACTTCGAGGTGAATAAGCGCTGCCTAAAAAAAACCAAGGGGCGTGAGGGTCGGCGGCGGCATCGTCGCCTTGAGACGCTGCACCTCTTCCTTGATGTACAATGGAAGGCGTCGCATGCTGCGCTCCACTAGATGCCTCTTCACAAGAGACGGGCATTTCCCCAAATGGGAGTACCGGTAATATGCCCCCAAAATGGTAGAATCCCGTTTATAGGAACCCACTCCAAACAAAAACAAAAAACAGGGAGCCGTCATGCGAAGCAGGGCTTCATTGAGGTGGCTTTTTTTGGAAGTCGAGAAGGCTTGCAGGCGTTTCAGTGGTGCAAAGCTTGGAGGGATGTCGCGTAGGGGTTTAGGGAGGCAGCGCAAAGACTTGCAAGCAAGCCACTGTCCCTAGACACCTCGTTACACAACCCTCTGAGAAAACTCCCCTCCTCCTCCTCCTGCTGCGTTTGTGATTGCTGGCGAGGCGCATGAAGGTCATCCGCATCGGCCGAAAGCTCCCTAGAGGGATGCTTTCGGGGCGTGGCTCCTTGACTTCGGCTTCGAGGAGGTTGATGAGATCCGTGACGAGGGGGAGGAGTCCTTCCTTGGTAGCCTTCTTGCGGATGAAGGGGAGGAAGGTCGCAAGGAGCTCCTGATCCGTGGCGGCGAGGAGGGCTTGATGTGCCAGGAAGCCTGGCTTGGCCACCGCAGCGTGCGGAAGGAAGTGGCAGTAGGTGCACGACATACCGGATGGGCACTTGCCGCCCTTGGCGAGTTGAATGCAAGGCCGGCCACACAATTGCGGATGCCCGAAGCTTCCCTTGTTGAACCCCACCTGGGGCATCGGCACAGGAGGCTGCTCTTCGGAGCGCGTGGCCGGACAATGTGGGCTGTTGATGGAAGCCAAGACCTGCTCCAAACCAGGTGGAGGCCCCAAGAGCAAGGGGCCTGGGCCTTCATGCGGAGTCCTATGGCTCCCGAGGTGTGGAAACGACCGTGTCCACGAACTTTCTGGCACCGCGCTCCTCGCACCCGGGATGTCGGCCTCCTGTACGTGGGTTGAGCATGCCGGCGATGCCCATGGCGATGCGCATGGCTCACCTCAGCGTGCTTCGTTGTGGTGACCATTCAACTGAAACACCCCTCCTCCATGAACCGGGCCAAGGCTGCTCTGCAAAGCAAGCAAAAAAAGGTGCTGACGGGACCTAGGCACGGAAGGACATGGACGATGCTGGCACCGGCATTGCTGGCGCAAGATACATGGCACCCTCTCGCGAAGACAGAGCGACTAGCCTCGGGCTCTCAATCTCCACTGGAGACCCTGCGGCTGTCAGATGTCCCCCCCTCCCCCTCAAGAATAGGATGCGCTCTCGGCTCACAACATAACGGGGAAGCTGAAAGGATGGGCAGTTCTTGAGATGCCCCCCCCCCCCCCCCCCCCCTATACACCTTAAACCATGCCCTCGCTTGGGCTTCGGGAAACCAAGGTCTAGGGTTTAGGGTTTAGTCGAAGCCTTCAGCCCCAAACCACAAAGCCAGGCTTTCTTTCTTTGGTCGTGGTTAACCCTGAACCTGACTGCCTAGACGCGCAAGACCATCCCCCCCCCCCCCCCCTCCCTTCCGCCCAAGCCCCTGATATACAATACGTCCATGGTTTAGGGTTTAGGGTTTATGGCATATGGGGAATACTTCACTATCCGCAGGGGGTCGGGGGAGGATTTGAAGGAGATCTTATACTAAACGCCTCGATGCAAAATTCGGAAGCCCTGCTGGATATTCTGGATAATGTTGAAGCACCCCCCCCCCTCCATAGCAATGCTTCCCTACTTCTTCGTTCTTGGGAAGGCCAACGTCAGCTTTATGGACTGCAATTCTTCGGATCACCCGGCACGGGGATGCGCAACTCACAAGGACTGAGCCATCGGTAACCTGCTAAACTCCTCTGCAGCACATTGGCCGCTTCTCCTTCAAAGCCGTAAAGCCAAAAAATAGTAGAGCCTTCCCAAAGGCACAACCTAAGAATCTGCACCCCCCCCCCCCCCCCAAACCCTACAACCCTGCAGCTTCAACTCGTCAACCTACACCTTCAACCTGAATCCCAAACCCCAAACACCAAGTGGTTGTTGAGGTCTGGGCCTGCGCAAGACTCTGAGCGGTAAATTGGGCCTGGGGTATCAAAGAGTGGATGCAGGTCAGTATGGGAAGTGTCAAAGCGGGGGGTCTGATTTGTCGCAAGTCGCAACTTTCTTTGCTTTGAGTCTGCCACCTGGACGACTTTCAATTCCCAGGATTCTATTTTTTTGGGGAAGGGCCGCCCAGTGAATAGTGTGCACTCAGAATAAGGGAGAGCAATCACTGGCAAATTGGAGACACTGCTCTGGCCCGACGCCTAAACCCTAAAAAACCCTAAACCCCAAACCCCAAACCCTAAACCCCAAGCCCTAAACCGCATTCAGAGGCAGAGACGTCCCATTGCTTCATGGCCTCGGCAGCAGCGGCCTGGCTGATGCTTCTTTTGATGGGAAACACGGGGTTTAGGGTTTAGGGTTTAGGGCTTGAGACCTCAAAAGTCAAAGGTTGCCTGCGCCGCCCACTTGGCAATGGCACGGCAAGGTTGACTTCAGGGCCAAGGGTAGCAGTCTAAATCCCTCAACAGTCCAAAACAGCGCAGTAACCATTTGATAAGAAGGGTGCCCCTTTCTTGGGTTGGTTACTTGCTAGTCGAAGACGAGGGTACCCCTTTTTTGGGGTTACTTTGCAAGTGTCTCACAGGCGACCTGCCCTCTTGAAGAAGCTACGGTGGCTTGAGGGACCCAAGCGGAGGCCGAGAGAGAGGACCGCAACGGCCGGGAATGGGAACCTTGAACGAAAAAAACGGGAAAAGGGTATCACTGGGCTACCAGGAAGCCCTCAACCTGTGGAGCACCCCGTGTCATGACTGGGAGGTTGAAAGCCTCGGCCAAAAGTAAAAGTGTAAACCCTGAAGCAATCAACTCGGTTTTTTCCCGAAACATGCCTCAACCCACCAAATATACACATACATCGTGAGGTCCGACCTAGTTAGGAGGAGCCCTAGGGGGCTAAACCCTAAACCCTAAACCCTAAACCCTAAACCCTAAACCCTAAACCCTAAACCCTAAACCCTAAACCCTAAACCCTAAACCGGGCAGGCCTTCACCTTGTCGCTGAGTCGTGGGGCAGGTGTGTAGATGTAGCACTTCTCCTGCTGCTTTGGGTCAACCTTTGTTGCAAGGATCCTAAGCCGAGGGGTCCCCCCCCCCCGCGCCCTTGCCCCCCCTCCTAAACCCTAAACCCTAAACCCTAAGCCCTAAACCCTAAACCCCCCCTCCTCCCGTCCTCCCACCCCCTCCCTCCCCTTTGGCTCCTCTTCGCGCCGCTTCTTGCGGTCCTCCTGGTCGGCCTTGACGGCGAGAACCTGAGGCTCGACAGGCTTTGGGTGCTCGGGTGTGGTAGGTATGTGGCCTTGATGCATGTATATGGGTATGCAACTATCTATCTCTCTCTCTATATATAGACTCTCTCTATCTCTATATATAGAGATACATATATATATATATATATGTATGTATATGCACACATATAATATTAGGCGGAGGACACCTGCTTCGCCAAAAGTCCCGGGCCTTTGCTCGCTTCTGCTCCAGGTCAAGGATGCGCCTGGTTTTAGGTTTAGGGTCTTAGGGTTTTAGCGTTTAGGGTTTTAGGGCTTTAGAGTTTAGGGTTTAGGGTTTTAGGGTTTTAGGGTTTAGGGTTTTAGGGTTTAGGGTAGGTAGTTCTCTAAATTAGGTTTCCTTCTTGGGTACATACAGAAAACGGGACCTTTCAAAAAGGTACACGAATTTTGCAGAACTACCCACAAGGAAGCAACTAACACCAACTTACCCTCAAAGCCATTCAAGCCCCTGCAGCCCGAAAGGCCTTAAGGCTCTAAGCCTTACACAGGAACCCGATTTTGGAGTTGATTTCGGGCGTTCTCTTGGTAGACCAGTAGCCATATTAAAACAAGGGCACCCTTTTTGGTTGGTTCCTTTATAAGGGAACCCTGAACCAACAAAAAGGGAAAAGGGCACCACTGGCCTACTAAGTTCTTGATCTTTGGTCTTTTGGGGGGCAGGGGTGGTGGCAGGCACGTTTTGCGCTTCGGGGTTTAGGGTTTAGGGTTTAGGGCTTAGGGTTTAGGGTTTAGGGTTGTCGGGACACTGATTATAAGGAATCCCTTTTCTACGTAAACCCCCGTATGGGCTTCGGGGCTATTGAAACCCTAAAGCAGAAGCCCTGAAGTCTGTTTTGTTGCGGGGGGGGAGGCCCCCTGTGTGTCAGGTCCCTGTCGAATCCTTGATGGCTTGGGGATTTCCTCATAGGCGAGCACAGCAACAGCCTGAAGATTCGCAGCTCCCAGCCCATTAAGGAAACTTTGGTCATCCCCACACTCCTAAACCCCCGAACTCACCTCCCATTGCCTAAACCCTAAACCCTAAACCCTAAACCCTAAATCCTAAACCCTAAACCCTAAACCCTAAACCCGAAACCCGAAACCCTAAACCCTAAACCCTAAACCCACACCTCCTGCGCAGCTCTTCTTTGGCCGACTCGCGGGCGTCGCGCACAGCCTCGGCCTGCCCCGCGCTTTGAGATCTTCGGGGCGCAACGGGGCGTCTCAGGGCATCGCTTCGGGTGAGGGCGGGGCCTGAACAATTAGAATAGGGTTTTGGGGGTTATTCTAGTATATTTATAATTGGACCGCAGGGGAATACCATTAGAAATTATTCCGACCTGTATATCACACATACACAAGGTCTATGCAAACATTAATTATCTCTTCGAATCTTTTGTGCTATGTGATATATCTATATATATATATACACACACACGCGCCCATGTCGAGGCATGGTGGTATGATCATGCTCTGCTGTGGACACAGTAGCAGGGCGCACAGCGCTTAAGGGCCCTAATCGGGCTCCCTGAAAGCCCGCCTCGCGCTCTTTGACGCCCTGCTCCTGGCGAGTTAAGCCCCAGCTGGAGAGGGTTTTAGGGTTTATAGGGTTTAACATTGGAACGTTCCCCATTATGCTACAATTCTTTTTAGAGATTCGAATACGGGGTACTATAATCCCTATTGAGGACTGTTAGTATAAGGGGGTTTAAATGATGGAGGGTGGTTTGACGTTCACTGGGTACCGCCCTGAGAGTGGAAGATTCGGTGGGGCATCTGGAGATGTGGGCTTGGCAGCCTAAACCCTAAACCCTAAACCCCTGGTCTGGGGGAAGCTGGGGAGCTCCAAGCTTGCCGAGACGGTAGTCCACACGGCCTAAGACCCAGCACACGAAGTGAGGATGCAGCCCAAAGAAGTTTCAACAGAAGGGGGGGGAGGATGCCAAAAACCAGCACAGATTTCGATCTCCAGGCCCCGAAACCCTAAACCCGAAACCCTAAACCTCTTAAAGCCCTGGCGGGACAGCACCCAGAGGCTTGCCCAGAGAGGGACCACAACTTCACGAGAGCTGTCGAGGCAGAAATTCTAACCTCCCAAAGCCTCTTCAAGCCTCCATCGCCTTGCCCCCCCCAAAGCAGTGATGTCCAAAAACGCGATCAAAGTATGGCGGGCCCTAAACCCCTGCCCTAAACCCTAAACCCTCAAGCCCCCTGCAACTTGAAATTATTAAGAAAATCGAAAAAAGAAGCTCCTTGAAACGTTCCTCGAAACTTCCCCGGACCTGAACCCGTAATGATTTCAATAAACCCTAAACCCCAAACCCTAAACCCCAAGCCCCCCTGGACTCTGGGCGGGGCGGCCAGGACCAGCTTCTGTCGCTGGAGCTCGCGCACGCGCTCCTGGCGGTAGCGGGCCTCGGGGCGCGTGCGCGCGCACAAAGGCATTTCGGGACCGTTTGGAGGGGGACCATGTGAGGGAGAGTTTAGGGTTTAGGGTTTGGGGTTTGGGGTTTGGAAGGGCACCCTCCCTCTTTGTTGAGGCCCTTGTGCCCTTTCAAACCTTCGAAAGCCTGTCGACCTTCCTAGACTGCCCAACTCGGACCAGAGAATCTGAATCACCGGGCCTCCTGAATCTGAAGTTCCTTCTCGCCAGCTTGCAGCATGCGCTTGCGCTCGGCCTGGGGTGAGGAAGGCGCGGACGTCACGGGCTAAGCGTCGCGGGCCGTATGGGGATGCACTTAGGGTCATGCAGCCCTGGTTTTCGGGGGCGTGTATGTGCACTCGAGTTGGTGTTTTGGTTTCAAGGCGTCCGCAAGCAACTGGATGCAGATGCAGATGTAACTTCGCAGTTCTGGTGTGGCCCAGACCCGGGAGCTAGCTAGGAAACGTCGGGTCTTTGTTGCACAAGCTTCTTGAAAGCTGGGGGTGGAGTTCTCCGTATCACCGGAAGAGATGTTTGGAGTTTATAGCTGAGGCCTGAGATGAGCCCCCAAAAAAGGAAACGATTCTCAGAGCTTCAGACGCCCGCTGAAACAAACCTCAGAGCACTGCTACTTCAGAGGCCTTGAGGCCCCCTAGCACTCGGAATTGTCGTCACAAGGGAGCAACTGTGAATGTTGAAAGCTGTGGCATTGCGTGCCCCAGAACCACTGAACCCCCTGATGATGCCTCCTCTTCACATTGCTGCTTCTCATAGACCTCGCAAGGGAGCACATGGTACAAACGGCTTTGGGACGGCTGTTTCTGTGGATCTGGCATGGGCCATGGGCCCTAAACCCGAAAGAAGCTGCCCTACTTGGGGGCTCGGGTTTCGAATCCTGCCCTTTATGTGGCGAAAGCTCACGTCCCCTTAGCTGGCAGACTGGCGAAGTTCTCTCCCAAAGGGTTCGCCTTTGGGTTCCAAGGGGGTTAAACCCTAAACCCTGAAACCCTGAAACCCTAAAACCCTAAAACCCTGAACCCTAAACCCTAAACCCTAACCCCTAAACCCTAAACCCTAAACCCTAAACCCTAAACCCTAAACCCTAAACCCTAAACCCTAAACCCTAAACCCTAAACCCTAAACCCACACCCAAAAGTTTGGAAGCTGCGGCGTTCGGTGTGAGCACGGGCGCCTTCTTCTCTCGCAGCCGGTGGGCCTGCACTTCTTTGAGTCTCTCCTGCGCCGCGCTGCTTAAGGAAGGTTTGAGATGTGCCCCTGACAGTGGGGGTTCTAGGGTTTGGGTTTAGGGTTTAGGGTTTAGGGTTAAGGGTTAAGGGTTAAGGGTTTAGGGTTTAGGGTTTAGGGTTTAGGGCCTATTGAGATTATTGAGGGTTCAGGTCCGGGGAAAGTTTCGAGGAAAGTTTCGAGGAACGCTTCGAGGAGTTTCTTTTTTTGGAATTGTTCTTTCTAATTTCAAGTTCCAGGGGGCTTGAGGGTTTAGGGTTCAGGGTTTCGGGTTGAGGGTTACTTCCATGTAAACCCTCCCAAGCATGTCTGCGAGGGGTTTGGTGCTTCGGGTTGAGCGTTCCGGCACAGGTGGGGGGGGGGGCGGCCAGGGCTGGGGGTGGGAAGGACCACATCGAAGTAAGGGGATGCATCTATCCGTATGCCTCGTCCTCCTGCACGCAGCTACAGGGTTCAGGGTTTCGGGTTTCGGGCTTGCTTGTAAGTAAACTGAGTACCCCAACCATCTTTTTTGCATGGGCCCAAACCCAAGCAGATCGCTCCCCGCAAACCTATCGGGACTTTAGGAAGAAGCGAAAGGCAACCCCCCAAACGATCTCCCCTTAGAACCTTAAAAAACACTTTTGAATGCCCTTGGGTGAAAGTCCCTGTCTCCTCATACTCCTTGCTTCCCACTTCGCCGGCCCTGGGGAAGAAGGGAGTCTCAGGATCTCTTCTCTGGGAATGCGCTCTCAAGCCGAGCGGATGCAGTTTTTCTATGGCGCGAGCGTGGGTTAGCGACGCGTTTCGTGCTCAGGGCACTTGTAACAAGTGACTTGTTCAAGCTTTGTGCTTGCGCCTAAAAGACTGCAAGACGTGCGCTCTGCACAAAACATGCCGAGTCTGAAGACACGCCGACAGTCACTAGCAGAAGAGGGTTTTTAAAGACCCTCTTCCTTGGGGGGGGGGCCCAGGTTCCGAGGGCTAAGCCCCTACACCCGAAGCTTCTGGGAGTTGAGGACCGTTGGCACCAGCTGCTGCTTTGCGTGTTTTTCTGGGCCTCGAGGGTGGTAGGGTTTGGGACTTAGGGTCCCAGGGATTGCCAGGGCTTTGGGTTTGGGGCTTGTTACAGGGCTCGTAGGGCTGCGGGGCTCAGGGTTAGGGCTTGTCGGGGTCTCGCGGGCACTGCTTCTGGATCCTAGGGTTTAGGGTTCAGTAGGGCTTGGGGTTTAGGGTTTAGGGCTGTAGGGGGCCAGATTCTGCACACACCGCCTAAAGCCGAAAGGGCTTAAACCCTACTCCCCCCTGCCTGTGCATGGCCCTGACCTCCTGCTTCTGCTCCCGATCCCGCTTCCGCTTCTGGATCTCCTGGAAACGAGGGTGAATTTAAGGATTTGTCCGCCTCAGCGCGCGGGTAGAGAGGGTGGCGCTAGTTCAGGTTGTCGACTGCCCTCAAGCCCGAAATTTTGCTTACATTCTGAATTTTCAACCCTACCGGCCCTATGCCAAGGCTCAAAAGAGCCCCGCCTGCTGCTTCTTTGCCTCGCGAGCCAGGCGGATTTCCTCGAGCTCCGCCGTGCGCCGAAGGTGCAACTTCTCGTAGCCTTGTGATCTACCCAGAGCGGTACTCAAACTACAGAATGCGTTCGAGGGTCCCCTCCCCCCGCCACACCCCCTGCAAGCCTATGACTTGCGTGCTCTGACACAAACACTGGCACGGGTCTTGGCTTGGTTGCGTTTCAACATGGTAAAGGCTCTGGCTTGCAGTTGTGCAAGATGAAGACGTACTTGGCCCCTTTTCAAAGTCGCTCTCTTCAGGGCGCCCAGCCCTGTTTTTTTGGCAACACCAGGAAACCCTAAAGGCCCTCAACCCTGCATCCTAAACCTTAAGCCCTGAACCCTAAGCCCTAAACCTAAACTCCGAAATCCTAAGCCCTAAGCCCTAAAGCCCTAAAGCCCTAAAGCCCTAAAGCCCTAAAGCCCTAAAGCCCTAAAGCCCTAAAGCCCTAAAGCCCTAAAGCCCTAAAGCCCTAAAGCCCTAAAGCCCTAAAGCCCTAAAGCCTCAACCCTAAACCCTAAACCCTACAGCCCGAAACGGAACGGAAGAGCTCCGGGGGCGCGGCTCACCTCCTGACGACTGCGCTCCTTAGATCGCGTCTCCCGATCCTTGGGGCCAAAAAAGTCGGCAGGCAAGTGCCCCCCCCCCCCCCCCCCCGCCCTCCTCCTAAGCGTTTAGGGTTTAGGGTTTAGGGTTTAGGGTTTGGGGGTGTTTTCAACTAAATTAAGCCCTAAACCCGAAGTCCCTAAGTCCCTAAACCCTGAACCCGAAACCCTGAAACCCTATGCACCGCCAGGCACAAGAGCATGCTCTCAGAGGCCGACCCGAAGAACTCGCACTTCCTGCGAAAACAGCAAAGATGTGGGGGGCGGCTTGGGGTTAGGGTTTAGGGTTTAGGGTTTAGGGTTTAGGGTTTAGGGTTTAGGGTTTAGGGTTTAGGGTTTAGGGCTTAGGGTTTAGGGGCTTGGGGTTGTGGGTTTTGGGCTTCGGGTTGTGGGTTTGGTGGTTTGGGGTTTACGGCTTTGGGTTTGGGGTTGAGGGTTTAAGGCTGAGGTTTGGGGTTGAGGGTTTAAGGTTTAGGCTTCTTTCGAGGGGTTTGGGGGTGTATGGGGTGTATGGTTCAGTTGCGTGGGGTTTTTGCCTCCTGGGGTTTGTAGACATCTCTTCGACATGCTTGAGTAGACACATCGTGATCCATCCAACACCCCTCCCCCCGCCCCCCTCCCCCTACCCAGGTACGTTCGGATTTCAACCCTATTTTGGAGCAGCAAAAAAGTAGATACTGTTTAGTTTTAAGTAACTATCATAGGAACCCAGAACCAAAACAAGTATTGAAGTATAGTACTCCAAAACCCAGTCACGCTGAGCTCATCTACTGAAACAGCCTTTCTCAGGCGTCTTTCACCTTCAACCATGCTGGACCAAGTCGATCAAAATCGGAGCTCTCCACCGCAAAGCCCTGAACCCCTGAACCCCTAAACCCTAAACCCTAAACCCTACACACCTAAAACCCCCAAACCCTAAGCACCTAAACCCCTCAACCCCCTCAACCCCCAAAACTTGGGATGTTCCCCCTGACACAACAGTCCTTATTAGTGCTACCATCATCCCTACCAGGAGCTGTTCGTACAGCATCCCAACCTAAAACTCCCTGAGGCCCTAAACCCTAAACCCTAAACCCTAAACCCTAAACCCTAAATGAACACCCTAAAATCCACCTTGTCGGCCAAGTCGGCGCGCCGCTCTTTTTCGAGCTCGTGCACCTCCTGCTTGGCTCAAAGGGCGCGATACTTGGCACAAGGGGCCTTTTGGGGGGGGGGAAGCTCGGCTTCCGGGTTTGGTGTTTCGGGTTTAGGGTTTAGGGTTTAGGGTCGGGGGAGGGGCTCGGATTCTTTTGAGGGGTAGCTCCACTTCGACAGGCCTCACAGGGCTTTGGCTTCAAGAGTTTTTGGTGTCCGCAGCCCCCGAAGTCCGCCTGCCCTAAACTCCACAAAACCTCCACAAAACTCCCACAACAAACCCCACCCAACCCCCCTAAACCCTAAACCCCTAAACCCTAAACCCTAAACCCTAAACCACCCCAACCCCCGACCCCCAACCCCACCCCACCCCCCCCCCCCAAAAAAAAAAAAAAAAAAAAGGCAAACAAAAAACCGAAAGCCCGGCACGTCAAAGGGCGCCTCGCGAGTGTAGGTGGCGATGTTCATGTCCCAGCTCTTGAGCCGCTGCCGCGGCGAGAGGAGCCTCGACGTTGGAGGGGGCTTCGGGGCTTTGGGGTTTAGGGTGAGTTTAGGGTTTAGGGGGTTTAGGGTTAGTTTAGGGTTTAGGGCCTTTTTTTCGGAGGGTTTGGGCTTTAGGGTTCTAGGGTTATTTTAGGGTTTTAGGGGGTTTAGGGTTAGTTTAGGAATTAGGGTCTAGGGGTTTAGGGTTTAGCCATCGAGTCTGGCTGAATTTCTCAGTATCTGTATCTGTGTCTGTGGGTGTGTCCGTCTGTGTGTCTCGGTGTGTCTCGGTGTGTCTCGGTGTCTGTAATTGTGTCTGTACGTGTGTCTCTAGGTGGTCAGTGTCTGCGTCTCTCTCTCGCTCTCTCTCTCTCTCTATTTCTATTTGTGTCTCTCCGTCTCTCTCAACTCCAGTGTGCCAATCGTTGGAGAAGTTCAACCAAATGGCGGCTACTGTGATCTTCGACAAGGCATGGTTTGGCTATCATCTCTAAGTGTTGTGAAGCGAGACCTGCCTTGTGTGCACGAGAGAAGCTCGCGGGCAGTTTCGGCCATGCGGAGAGATCCCGAAAGCCAATCGGACGCCCAAAAAACTACAAAAACAGGACCCCGAAGCCAAAACGACAGGGACAACTCCCAAACCCTTCAATGCTAAAGCCTGCGCCAAACCTTCATTAAGTACACCCAAAACCCTCAACTCGAAACCTAATAATTCCTAAAGCCAAAGACTCCAAAGCTAACTTCTTGGACTTCTTCCCCCTGGGGTTAACGAACACAAGGGACCCCTGATATAGACCCCTAATACTAATATCGTAAACGACCCTACACCCCAAACTTAAACCCTAAACCCTAAACCCTAAACCCTAAACCCTAAACCCTATGATAAGAACCCCAGTAAGGTACCCCTTATCTCGTAAACCCCTCATCTCCGGGTGAGCGGACGCTGCCGCTGAGGAGGATGGCGAAAGGCCAGGGCTGAATGGCACCTCTGGCGGTTTAGTTGTTTTTTTTTGAAAGTCAGTCGTTTAGGGTTTAGGGTTTAGGGTTTAGGGTTTAGGGTTTAGGGTTTAGGGTTTAGGGTGGCTGTTGAGGAGCTGAAGGTAAATAGGGGATCCGAAGTTCATTTGGGTCATGCGACCCTTATAGACACGAAACATGATAAGGGCCCATACTTCGGATCCCTATAAACAAAGGTAAGGGACCACATAAAGGGCCCCATGGTTCAAACCTTAGGAGTTGGGTTACCCCGCATCGGGTTTAGGGGGTGGATTGCCGTTCGCTCTCCCTGACCCCTAGAATAGCCCTAAACCCTAAACCCTAAAACCCAAACCCTAAACCCTAAACCCTAGACCCTAAACCCTTGCACAACATGTCCCGAAAGGCACCGCCAGCCTGGAGAGTTGGTGCGTGAGCACGGGAAGCTGAAGTGTCAAAAAGAAGCTCGCGGCTGCCAGCACTGAACCCTAAACCCTAAACCCTAAACCCTAAACCCTAAACCCTAAACCCTAAACCCTAAACCCTAAACCCTAAACCCTAAACCCTAAACCCTAAACCCTAAACCCCCAAACCCTGAACACCTGAAACTTGGGATGCTCCCCCTCGTACTAACAACCCTAAACCCTAAACCCTAAACCCTAAACCCTAAACCCTATAACAGTCCTGAATAGGGATTATAGTAGGGGGGTACGATCATCCCTAATAGTAAGGACTGTGAGTATAAGGGGGGAACATCCCAACCTGAAACCCCTAAAGCCCCCAATACCCCCACAAAGCCCTTAAAGACCCTAACGTTCTAAAGCCCTAAACCCTAAAACCCTTGAAACACTAAACCTTAACCCTAAATTCTCAGGCCCCGTGGCCTTGAGGTGGGACCGCGGGCTGTGCGAGCGTGCGGAGGGGCTTGGCGACACGGAGACCAACCTTCAAGCAAAACCAGGAACCACCTACTAGGAGCTTTCTCTCTCATGTCCCTTAAGCCCTAAACACCCACCTCCAAGCGCCGTGTGACCCCCAGACTATGCAGAAGCCGGGCAGCGAGGAGCGAGGGGACCTTGTAGACTCGGCCACCTTGGGGTATTTCCTGGGACCGGAGCATCATTCGGGGGCCTTTGAGCGCGTTAAGGGGTTTAAGGGCTTTGAGGGCTTTAAGGGGGTTTAAGGGCTTTAAGGGGGTTTAAGGGAGGGTTTCAGGGTTTTCGGGTTTAGGGCCTTAGAGTATTTCCTGGCCCAGGATCTGGGTTTCATGGGCCCTTATGGTCCCCCTTACCTCCCCTTAAAGGGTTCTGATGTATGGGCCCTTAAGGTGTATAGGGTGTGTAAGAGGAAAACAAGGGGTACTCCTTTAAGGGCCCAGACTAAGGGACCATGCAACTACCCTGGGCAGTAGCATCCTTTCAGACGTTTAGATGGGGCTTTAGGGGCTTTAGGCTGGGATGTTCCCCCTTTATACTTACAGTCCTCAATATAGGGATTGGGCTACCCCCTAGTACAATCCCGATTCAGGACTGTTAGTATAAGGGGAAGATCCCAAGCTTTAAGGGTTTTAAAAGGTTCAAGGGTGTTTGGGTTTAGGGCTTGGAGTTTTAGGCTTCCAAAAACTTCAGGGTTTAGGGCTTTAGAGGTTTAGGGCTTCGGGTGCGGTTTAAGCCTAAACCCTAAACCCTAAACCCTAAACCCCAAACCCCAAACCCTAAACCCTAAACCCTAAACCCTAAACCCTAAACCCTAAGACCAAGAACCAGGCTTCGAGTTTCAGGGCTAACAAGCCCTGAGCGGCAGCAAGCAGTAAAGACCCGACCCCGGGATGCAACTAAAGAGCCTAGGAATACAAAAAAAGGCTGCCCTTTTTTGGTTTGGGGTTTAGGGTTTAGGGTTTAGGGTTTAGGGTTTAGGGTTTAGGGTTTAGGGTTTAGGGTTTAGGGTTTAGGGTTTAGGGTTTAGGGTTTAGGGGGCTTATAAGGGAGGGAGTCTGAACCCTAAAACGTGGGGGGATGCCTACTCCGGGTCCAACACTAGCAAAACAAACCCTTACAGGGCCCCAAAACCCACTCTAACTCCGGACCCCCCGGCCAAACTACAAAATACAAAACAGAAACGTCAAAAGCCCAAAAGTCCTGAAGCTTCCCCCCGCCGAAACCCGAAAGCCCTGAAACCTGTACACCCCTAAACAAAGCCCTACACGCCCCCTAAACCATAACACTTCCTAAACCCTACACATCTCCAAACCCGAAACCTCTAGACCCCAAACCCTAAACTTGCCAAACGTCATGAGCCTCCCAGACTGCCTAAACTTCCTGAACCCTGTTCACCCCCTAAACAAGACCTCAGGAGTGAATACGAGGGAGAAGGGGCCTTGTGCTCCACACCGCAGTAGTGCCATCGTGTGCAGCACCCCGAAAGCATGACGTGTGATTCTCACATGGCCAACCTTGCGCACTTCTACACGCATGCTCCTCGCCAAGTTCCCCCTACACCCTAAACCCTAAACCCTAAACCCTCAACCCCTAAACCCCTAAACCGTCAACCCTCAACCCTAAACCCTAAAACCCTTAAACCCTAAAACCCTAAAACCCTAAACCCCAAAGCCCTAAACCCCAAAGCCCTAAACCCAAAACCCTAAACCCCAAAGCCCTAAACCCTAAACCCTAAAGCCCTAAAGCCTAAACCCTAAAGCCCTAAACCCTAAAACCCAAAACCCTAAACCCCAAAGCCCTAAACCCTAAAACCCTAAAGCCCAAAGCCCTAAACCCCAAAGCCCTAAACCCAAAACCCTAAAGCCCTAAACCCTAAACCCTAAAGCCCAAAGCCCTAAACCCCAAAGCCCTAAACCCTAAAGCCCTAAACCCTAAAGCCCTAAACCCTAAACCCTAAACCCTAAACCCTAAACCCTAAACCCTAAACCCTCGAGGCCGGGCGGCTCCCAGAGCTTGGCCCTGGCCATGTCCCGGTGCTCGAGCTTCTCCCTCCACTTCCTTGAGGGGAGGGTTTAGGGTTTAGGGTTTAGGGTTTAGGGTTTAGGGTTTAGGGTTTAGGGTTTAGGGTTTAGGGTTTAGGGTTTTAGGGTTTAGGGTTTAGGGTTTCCCCAAACACCCAAGACCCTCCAAACCCCAAAAACCCTGAACCCTACGGTTGCTGAGGGCCTTTTCATGCCTGCCCCCCCTCTTCGCCCAAGCGGCTCAAAGCGCTCCGCTTCTAGAAGCTGCTTCTGCGCCTCTCATATGGGGCTGGGGGTTCATACGGGGGTTTCCGAAACTAGGGGTACCTTATTGGGGTCCTTACTATAAGGGAAACCCTAGTATTTGGGGGTCTATTTTCGAGGCCCTCTATTTTCGTAAACTCCCATAGAGGAGGGGGTTTTGGGGTTCAAAAGGGGGCTTTCTCAGGGATTCTAGGGTTTCTCGATGGGGGGGTGTTTAAAGGGGGCTTCAATAAGGTTGAGGGTTACAAAGAGGTTTCTCAGGATTTATAGGTTTAATGGGGCTTGTTAGAGGGGGGCTTCATAGGGGTTTGGGGGTAAAAAAAGGCAAACGTTCAGGCTTTTAAGGGGTTTTCAGGGGGGGCGGAAGGTTTTTTTGGGTATAGGGTTTTTGACCTTTCAGGGCTTTGATGCTTTTTCAGGCTCGAGGTTGGGGGCAGAGTCTCTCTCTCTCTCTCTCTCGCTCTCTCTCTCTGTGGGGATTAACGCTTAGGGGCTTTCCAGGCTCTCTTTGCTTTGAAGACTCGTTTGCCCGGGTTCAGTCGCTGGTAGGGGCGCTGAGGTTTGGGGGCTTTTTGGGGGGCTCCGCACCTCGCGATCCAAAGCCCGGCGCTGCAGCCGCATGAGGTGCTCCTTTAGGGTTTAGGGTTTAGGGTTTAGGGTTTAGGGTGTAGGGGTTTGGGGTTTGGGGTTTAGGGTTGGTTGCGATTTGGGGGGCCAAAGGGGGGTGAGGGAGGCGGGGGTTAGGGGAATGAGGGGGGTGAGGGGGGTTAGGGGGTTTAGGGGGTTCATCGAGGTTAGGGGGTTTACGGGGTTTAGGGGGGGGGGGGGGGCATTTTGGGCTCGGGTGCCTGCCCCGGACTGGCCTCCCTCCCCTTTTTTTTGCCGAGGCGGGCCGCGTAGCGTGTAACATTAAGGGCCAATAAAATCCCAGCCCACAAACCCCTAAACCCTAAACCCTAAACCCTAAACCCTAAACTCGAAACCCTAAACCCTAAACCCTAAACCCTAAACCCTAAGAGGCCGAAAGCCGCGCCTGCTCCGCTTGCAGCTTCTGCGCCTCGCGGAGTTGCTCCCGACGCTCTCGGGCGTCGGCGCGGACGCGCTCCTGGCGCGGCCGACCAGCCCCCTTAAGTGCCGGATGCTAATTTTTGGGGGGTTTCGGGTTGAGATTTCGGCTTTTGGGCTCTTTGTTCCCCGGTTTTTGAGGGCTTTTGGGCTCTTGGTTCTCTGCTTTTTTGGGGTTGGGGGAGGTGGTAAGGGTTGGGCTGGGGTGGTGGGGTGGGGTGGGGATCCTCCTTTTATAGGCCGTTGCAGCCCCCTCCAAAACATGGAAATGGAGCCTGCTTGAGGCTGCTGAGCCTCAAACCCCCCACTTAGACCACAGAGCTGATAAACGAGCAAACTTTTACAAGCCAAGCCCGAGCCAAAGCACAAACCCTCAACCCGGAAGGGCCACAAGGGTTAAGTGGCTAACCTGTAACACACCCCAGCGACCCCCTTAAAACCCTAAGTTCCAAACCTTGAAACCCTAAGCCGAAGTCTAAGCACAACGAGGAAGACCGGGACAGGAACCACCCGTTTGCGCACGGTTACGACGGCGCTGCTGGGTTGAATGTCGGGTCTTGCTGTGGTCGCCTCGAGTGTAACAAAACGCTGCGGAGGTAGACGACCAAGTGGGCTATTTCTGTGGTGGCAACGCTCAACCAACAGTAGCAGAAGTGTAGGTGGAAGCTGAAGATGTGGGAAAAGTTCTTTTTGTGGAGTTTTGCCGCTTAAGTTCTCGCGAGGGTGCTGCGACAGTGCTGTGGTGGCAGACCGCGAAGGAAAGGATGGCGAGTACATCAACGCTAGTGGCAGCAGTAGGGCCGGAATGCCCGAGCTGGTTAGTGAGGCCGAGGGTTGCTGAAAAGACAAGGGGATATGAGAACCCTCAACCTCGCCCCATGTGTTCAGGAAGGTAAGCCGAGCTCCGACGTACGCAGCGCCAAACGAGACGGGTGTAGGAGTGCAGGCGCACTTGCATGGGTTTCGTGACGAGCGAAGGCCATGTAAGCATGTTGCAGCAGCCGAAGAGCAAGCCGAAAGTTTTGGGCAGGACCTGAGATCGAAGTCTTGGCAAGTGCCGAGGCAGCCCGCCAAGCTGCTTGGAAGTCCTTCAAAGGATCACGATCTTCTTTACTGTGTTTGAACTAACCGACGAATCGGTGCTGGAAAAGATGATGCGCTCCTTTTCTTGCTTTTCTTCTTATCCTTCTTCGTATCCTTTTTGGAGAAAGGATCTTGCTGACCCCAACTCTGGGCTCATAATTGATGGATACATCCTTTCTTCTATTCTCTTTTTCTTTTTGTTTTTGGCACTTTTGAATTGTGCGCCCTTTGGCGGCTGAGTATATAGTCTTTGTACAGCAGTCGCTTGACAGGCAGAGACTCAAGCTCCCACGCAGAGGACATTGCCTTGGAAGATCGATGCTGCGTGGACCTTGCGCAGGGCAGACATCGTCAGGCAGAGCAACTCCAACATGCAGTGGGACGGGCGTTCCGCTTCCAAAAACAGACATTTTTCTGAGCGGAGTGCGCGATTTCAGTCAATGTCGATGTCAAATCCTGGATTCTTTCTAAGAAACCAAGCACTATAGTCACTATAGGCTTGTGTGTCGGAACCAGCTGCCTCAGTGTTTTGGAAATGTGAAACGACAGCTGGGAAAAGAGAGCTATGCAGCTTTTACGCTTGTTCGCACCACGCCGGGCGATAACAAACATTGTCTTGCAGAAACTCTAATTTCCAGGTGGCACGCGCCATGACAGCATGAATGATTTGCAGTGTACGTGACAATTTGTCTGGCTCCGACAGGCAATGTTAGCTTTGCCTGTCCTAGTATCTATTAGTCCATCCGTTCACAAAAATATTCGACGATGATGCTGCCGGAGGACTTGATCATGGTGGAGGACATTATTACCCCGGCGTATGATCTCATCGCAACGCCGAGTCAGACTCACCGTGCGAGAAAGCACAGGGCTACCCGCAGCCGCGTTCGCTTCTGCATTCTGTCCAGTGCAACGCAGTTTTACATCGCCTGCCCAGCTTCAGCCTCAAACAGCGGCTCACGTCTGCTTCAAGAAAAGCTTCTTCAACCACAACTGCTTTGCTCACAGCTTCAAAACACCAAAGCAGAAGCAACTGGACTGAAAGCGTATTGCAACTTGCACACCAAACAAGCAGGGCGCGCTTCTTCGGCGCAGGGGCCGCTGTTATGTACGCCTGGCGGTACAAGATATGCAATGCCGACCATGTCCAGTCTAAGTCCAGATCACCTACCCGAACAATGCGTCTGCGCACCTCAGCTGCTCCATGCAGCGCCGGCAGCGGATGCGCGTAAGGAGATCATCTTTCACCTGGCTGGACTCCTACAGCAGCACGGCGTTGAACAGATCGCTGACGTTTTGGTTCTCAGCACAGGCTCCCCCTTGACTGATGCAGTTAGCCAAACTCTTCAGGATGGCTGGAAAGCGTACGAGAAGCACCTGCTACTGCGCTGCGAATGCCGCGATGACACCGTGTAATAGAAGCTGGCAACACGCACGATAGCGCGCGCAACTCGGATTGAGAAGCCTGCTAACACTGCGCAACCCGGATTGGGAAGCGCGGCGACGCAGTCCGCCGTGAGAGGCTGCCGCGCCAGATAGTGCACGCAACAAAGCAAGCTCCTCCAGCGATACAAAAAGAGCCCCAACGCCGTGCTGCTTCCTGTCAGCACTTGCGAGACGGCCTTGCTGGATGATTACTGATCAGATGCCTTCATGTCGTCAGGGAAGCTGATAGCATGTGCTTGCCATGACATACGCCTTTCAGATTGGACTCTGTGGCGACTGAAAAGGGCCGGGTCAAATGAAACCATGAGTCCCTTTGGGCGTTTTCAGCACGGACATCTGAGGCATATGCCTATCCCCACAGCCAGCAATCAGCCTCGATGTGGTAACCGAGAAAGCAGTGTGACTATCTGGACGCTGCCCCGGCTGTGATGTCGCGCTGCCACTAGTATACTCGCGAAAGGGCCTTGCATGTACTTCTCGACACTTGCTTCTTGTGAGCGCCGCAATAGCAGCCTTCTTGGACTCGGACTCAGGAGCTGGGGATCTACACATGCCTGCGGGGCAAAGGCATATACAAAAAAAGCTTCAATCAAAGGCCATCGTGCACACTAAGCGACATTCAAGCAGCAACACATTACAGGGTCGTTTGCAAGTCCGTTTCATAGGCTTGCCCCTGCAGCACGAATAGTTCGCGATCAGGCCACGTGCCGGCGACAGCAGCATCTCTGGTCCCCGCAATGCGTGCGTTGCTGTGAAGCCCTGCCGGCTGCTGCGACGCTGTCCTGGGTGTGTTTGGATCGTACGTCCCTGTGCGCAAATCATGAAATGAGTGGATGTGAGCTGAAAAATCGAAGAACAGATCATTACCGGTTGCTGCGGGCGCAAAAATCCAGCGATTCGTGACGTCGTTGCCACTAGCCAGCCTTGCGCAAACCCTGTCACTGACCCTGGCAAACATGCATCACGACTCATTCAAGTTTGTCCTTGCCTTTTCAATTCTTGGGCAGCTACTTACCGAACACAGCAGGTCCTCAGTTCAAGTTCAAGGAGACGGCGCCTCTAAGAGGCCGTGCGAGTAACCACAATTTCTGGGGCTCGGGGTGGGGTGGGGGGGGGGTGGGGGGGGGGTAATCACGTGACTTGGGACTTCACACCTGCAACTCCAAAGCCTGAACCCCTAATCCCCAAAGGCCTAAACCCTTGCTGTTTAATTCGGGGTTTATAAGCAAAACGCGCCCGCGCCTAGGCGAGAGCGCAATTTCAAGCAAAACATGTGTCCGAAACTTCAAAACGACACCCCCGAGAAAAAAAAACAGCAAACAAACGATCCTTAAACCCAAAAGAATAGTCCAAGCAGTGCAAACCCAAATCCGGAAACCTGAGCCCTAAACTTTGAACCTTGAACCCTGAAGAAGAATCAACTTGAGGCCACTTTCAGGATCCAGTGCACAAGTCTGTTGGGTTACAACCAAAGCACAATTCCAGAAAATCATGCCTGCGCTGTGGCGAGAGCACTATTTCGAACCTGAACTGCCGGAGCCATAACGCAGAAAAAACTTCCCGAACCGAAAATCGCCATTTGAAAGTTCAACATGGGGAATGAGCAAAACGTGCCCGCGCCTAGGCGAGAGCGCAAATTCGAGCAAAAAACGCGTCCAAAACTTCAAAAAAGAAGGGCATGCTTTTTTTTTTTAAATTCTCGGGTGTTTTTTCTTATTCTCTGTCGGTGATGGTTTTTAATTTTATTCTGGCGGTTCTTTTTTCGGGCCTCAGGACACGCCGCCCTAATCCGATGGTGTTAAATTTTGGGTGGGGGCCAGGAGTTCCCGAGCTCCTGCTCTCCCTTGACGACCAGGCGCTCCTCACAGGCCACGGGCTTCGGCGTTTAAGGGCTCAGGAACTGATGGGGGGAAACTTGAAGTCTCCACTTCTCGTGGAGCAGCTGGAAGAACAAACTCCTACTACATCATCGCTGACATACCCTAAACCCTAAACCCTAAACCCTAAATCTTCCACAAACTCAATATCGCAACCTTTTTCGCGCACTCAGCGCCTCCTCCTCTGGCGCTAGGAAGCGGTTCTGCGAGCCCGCCCGGCTGCTGAGGCTTCGGACGCTGCCACTGGGGCTCCTGAGCTCTGCTTGAAGTGTCTGAGTATCCTCCGGGGACCCTACTTTAGGAGGCTCATGGTACTTGCTGTTACTTATTGCTGTACTTAGAACCATATTTGGGGCAGTACAGCTCATGGTACTTACTGTTACTTATAACTGTACTTATAACCATATTAGTGCAGTACAGTTCTCAGTGGTTAATGAGTACCATGAACCTCCAAGTACCATGCCTGCATTCCCTTATGCCCCCACATAAAGTGGCTTCACGTAGGGACATGCTTAAAACTGGAATGTTCATGGGACTGTACCTTGGACGTAACCTTGGGTTTCGGGACCCTGTTTTAAGATCCTCTGAGGGAATCTAACGGCCACACTAGGAGTCTTCCAAACCTCCAAACCCGTAAAACCCTAATGCCCCGAAACCCCTAAAACCCCAGCAGGCCCTAAAACCCAAGAAACCCTATGCAACACCCTAAAACCCCAAAACCCTCAGCAACCCTTGCACCCCAAACCCCCAAACGCTTAGAAACCCGGCAAAATCCCCAAAGCCCCGCAGAAGCCCCAAACCTCTAATTGGAGGTTCATGGTACCTATAACACTATTAGGGCACCCAAACGGCTTATAAGTGGGTTACAATTACAGCTATAGTTGGTCAATAAGTACCATGAACCTCCAAGTATCCCTAAACCCTAAACCCTAAACCCTAAACCCTAAACCCTAAACCTTAAACCCTAAACCCTAAACCCTAAACCCTAAACCCCGCATGGCGAGGCTCATTCTTCGACCCCTGGGGCTCAGTGAAGCTTCGAGGTTGCCCCCGGTGCGGAGGAGGCCTCGGAGAGGGCGGCCGGGGGGGTTTAGGGTTTAGGGTTTAGGGTTTAGGGTTTAGGGTTTAGGGCTTGGAGAGGGTGGCCGGGGGGGGAGGAGGAAGGTTGAGGGTTGAGGGTTGCAGGGCTTCGGAATTTATGGTTTAGGGGTTGGGAGAGAGGGTTTAGGGTTTAGGGTTCGGTTGCAGGGTTTGGAGAGAGGGTCTAGGGTTTAGGGAGTTTAGGGGAACAGGATTTGGAGAGGGTGAGAGGTTTTTAGAGAACGGTTGGAGGGGGTTTGTGGTGGGTTGTTGTCGGGCTTTGCGTGCTCATGTAGCTTTACCTGGCTTGAAAGTCTTCGGCTGAAGTGCTGTGCAGGGCTGTAGGGCTTTGAGAGCTTATAGGGAAGACTTCAACGGTCGAGGATCACTTCCTTATACCCGTTGGCTCATGGGCTCATGGGAGTCTGGTGTTCTGGGAGGCCACTGCCTACGCAAAAGAAGTAGCTCGGGACGGCGTTGGGGGGGGGTGGGGGGGTGGGGGGGATCTTTGGACTTGGTGATTCCTAAGAATCTCTTCAGCCCCCCCACCCGCCTTACCCCCCAATAGGGTTTACGGTTTAGGGTTTGGAGTTCAAAGCCTGAAGCCCCAAAGCCACAAAGTAAAACCAAGGGTCCGATCGTGTCCCGCGGGCTGAGGGAACGGAGACGCGAGGAAAGCCTCGCTGTGGATGGGGGCCTCTAAACTCTAAGCCACGCCCCCAATCTTCTTAAACCCCGGACCCCCAAAACCCCCGCCCCCCCCTAAACCTGTAGACCGTGGTTCGGTTTAGAAGGGGCTGCAAGTTGTGTAGCTTCAGAAAGAGGAAGGGAGAGGCTCTTCGGGCGCGCCTGGAGGTGGAACGCCAGGGTTCCTTTCGCTTGTTGGTTCGGGCTCTGCCCTGTTGAGGGGCAACTTGGGGTGCCCGCCTCAACGTCTCGCGCTGTGCATCGCTTCCAAAAACTAAGGTCCCACTCTTCGGCTTACACTCAGCCTGCTGGGAATTCACGGCTGCCAATTCTGAGTTCCCAGCTGTAGCGTCACCGGAAGCCCGGCGAGAGTCGACCCGAGCCTGGCCGTGGAGCCCTCAAGCCTCCTAAAGCCTCGACCCCTACTTTGGAGTACAATTTTTAGGTATAAGTAGCAGTTATAGGAGCCCAGAACCCAAAAAATATTAGAGTATAGTACTCGAAAACCCAATGTCTAAGCCATGGCTGCTTTCTGAAAAGATTTATACGCACCAAGCCCTCAGCTCCCTCTCAAAAGAGACGTGACCCTAAACCCTAAACCCTAAACCCTAAACCTTAAACCCTAAACCCTAAACCCTAAACCCTAAACCCTAAACCCTAAACCCCAAGCTGATCCTGGAGTCTCTGCCGAGAGCAGGCCTTGGCGAGCTCCTCCCAAAGCTTGCGCCACGAACGCCCCGATAAACCATGCCGAAACACAATTACGAAAGCTCCGACGTAGTCCCTTTGTGGTTTAAAGGGAATGATAAGGGAACCTACACCCCTAAAAAGGGAATAAGGGCCTACTCTAGTTTCTAGTAGTGGCCTGTTTGGCCTACTTCGTTCGAGAGGGGGTGTTTTGGGGCAGCTCGTTGCAACTGCTTAGCGGATGACGAGGGGACGCCATATGTGCGCTCCTGTATTCGTCCGCTCTTCCCAACGCCTTCCAGGGGACACGCCGCTGCAAGCGAAGCAACCCCAAATCTTAAACCCCAAGCCACAACCATTGTTGGGGGTATTAAACAGCATGATCATTTTGTTCCTTGCAGGGTTTGAGTGTTCATCAAAGATGTAAAGAAAAACCCTAAACCCTAAACCCTAAACCCTAAACTCTAAACCCTAAACCCTTAACTTTCGGGCCTCCGTCCTCGACCTGTCCCATTCGCCCCCTGAGTTCAGGGCGGTCGCGTCTGCGAGCTACCCCGCCGTGAGCGGGGCGACGCAGTATTTGAGGCTGGCCGGTTCCTGCATTGTTTTGTAGGGTTTAGGGTTTAGGGTTTAGGGTTT